TCCACTCACCCGAAATCTACGGAAACGAGCGTGTTTATCACAAATTTAAAAAAAAATTGATTTAAAATAATCCCAAGCTACCACCACATCAGGTATATTTAAAACTAACCCTAAATTACTATTATACACATCATGCAAAAAAGCTTGTACATTAAAATGTTTAAATTGTCGTTTAAATATATATCTAGGTGGACTCTTAGGCATTTTAAAATTTCTCAAACAGGATATTGCACAGTGATCACTAATATCGTTGCAAAAAATTCCAACTGCAGAGAAAACATGTGGTACATTAGTTAAAATAACATCAATCAAAGATGATTTATTCATGTCCTTTCCATTTAGACGAGTTGGTGAGTTTATCAGTTGTTCCAGACATAGCGAGTTACAAATATCCTTAAATGAGTCTGATGGCTGAGATAGCCAGTCCCAGTTTAAGTCCCCCATTAAAACTAAATCAGAGGTAGTCCATCTGTGAAGCATGTCCGTAAGCAAAGAAATTGCCTTACTTGAAGCTGAAGGCGGGCAATAACAACCCACCACCATCATATCAGATCCATTAGGTAAAAATACTTTTAAAGCTAAAAGTTCAAAACACTTTAAAAAACTAACTGAAAGACTACAAATACAGTTCACGTTTGATTTAGTATAGATTGCAACCCCTCCTCCCTTTTTACCACGGTCAGATCTAAAAACATTATATCCATTTATGTGTACCATATCGTCTGTAATTGTTTTTTTCAACCAAGTTTCTGTAAAGATCATGATGTCAGCATCAGTCGAATCTGCCCAGATTCTAATTGAATCCAACTTATTTATCAAACTTCTGACATTAAGATGAAAAAATCGTAGACCATTACTCAATTTAAGTTCCTCTGGTGTTTTAAGCTGGGCCAGCTCTGGGCCTGGGTTGGGATGAATGTTACCTGAAATCAGCAGCAGAAGCAAAATCCACATTCTCCTTACCAAGCCACAGCTCGGTCTGCTATCGCCGCAGATAGATGTAGCATAATGTGTCAGTTTTCCGTTTCCTCTGACCAAGAGGCAGTGCAACCTTTTTGGTGTGTCTCGTGACCAGACAAACCCACAGAAGGAAAGTTCAAGGCCCCTCAGCAACCCAGCCAGATCTCCAAACCGTTCTGCAGCAGTACAAGAAGCCCATAGATGTAGCGCAGGTACATGTCTCTCCCACTTGACAGTAGTTGGCACGCCATCCACATCAACTACAAACAGCTCTCTAAATTGTACTGCCGTGGTGTTAGCACACGGAGCCCAGAGACATAGCACAGGAGTGTGCCTCTCCCACTTTACAGTAGATGACACACCATTCACACCAACCACCGGTAGCCTCCAAACCATGGAACACAGTAGGCATATCAGCATAATTGCCCACATTTTTAATAGTACGAGGTGGTCTGCAGTTAGTTAATAAAATCCAATCGAATTTTGTGAACACAACAGGTTATCTCTTAAGTAAAAGTAAAGGGTAAGTTATGTAAAATAAGATGTACAGTGGGTACGGAAAGTATTCAGACCCCCTTAAATTTTTCACTCTTTGTTATATTGCAGCCATTTGCTAAAATCATTTAAGTTAATTTTTTTTCCTCATTAATGTACACACAGCACCCCATATTGACAGAAAAACACAGAATTGTTGACATTTTTGCAGATTTATTAAAAAAGAAAAACTGAAATATCACATAGTCCTAAGTATTCAGACCCTTTGCTCAATATTTAGTAGAAGCACCCTTTTGATCTAATACAGCCATGACCCTTTTGGGAAAGATGCAACAAGTTTTCACACCTGGATTTGGGGATCCTCCGCCATTCCTCCTTGCAGATCCTCTCCAGTTCTGCCAGGTTGGATGGTAAACGTTGGTGGACAGCCATTTTTAGGTCTCTCCAGAGATGCTCAATTGGGTTTAAGTCAGGGCTCTGGCTGGGCCATTCAAGAACAGTCACAGAGTTGTTGTGAAGCCACTCCTTCGTTATTTTAGCTGTGTGCTTAGGGTCATTGTCTTGTTGGAAGGTAAACCTTCAGCCCAGTCTGAGGTCCTGAGCACTCTGGAGAAGGTTTTAGTCCAGGATATCCCTGTACTTGGCCACATTCATCTTTCCCTCGATCGCAACCAGTCGTCCTGTCCCTGCAGCTGAAAAACACCCCCACAGCATGATGATGCCACCACCATGCTTCACTGTTGGGACTGTATTGGACAGGTGCCTGGTTTTCTCCACACATACCGCTTAGAATTAAGGCCAAAAAGTTCTATCTTGGTCTCATCAGACCAGAGAATCTTATTTCTCACCATCTTGGAGTCCTTCAGGTGTTTTTTTAGCAAACTCCATGCGGGCTTTCATGTGTCTTGCAATGAGGAGAGGCTTCCGTCGGGCCACTCTGCCATAAAGCCCCGACTGGTGGAGGGCTGCAGTGATGGTTGACTTTCTACAACTTTCTCCCATCTCCCGACTGCATCTCTGGAGCTCAGCCACAGTGATCTTTGGGTTCTTCTTTACCTCTCTCACCAAGGCTCTTCTCCCCCGATAGCTCAGTTTGGCCGGACAGCCAGCTCTAGGAAGGGTTCTGGTCATCCCAAACGTCTTCCATTTAAGGATTATGGAGGCCACCGTGCTCTTAGGAACCTTAAGTGCAGCAGAAAGTTTTTTGTAACCTTGGCCAGATCTGTGCCTTGCCACAATTCTGTCTCTGAGCTCTTCAGGCAATTCCTTTGACCTCATGATTCTCATTTGCTCTGACATGCACTGTGAGCTGTAAGGTCTTATATAGACAGGTGTGTGGCTTTCCTAATCAAGTCCAATCAGTATAATCAAACACAGCTGGACTCAAATGAAGGTGTAGAACCATCTCAAGGATGATCAGAACAAATGGACAGCACCTGAGTTAAATATATGAGTGTCACAGCAAAGGGTCTGAATACTTAAGACCATGTGATATTTCAGTTTTTCTTTTTTAATAAATCTGCAAAAATGTCAACAATTCTGTGTTTTTCTGTCAATTCAGTACAATTAAGTGAAATTCTACTTGTATGAAGACCTGAAGGTGGGTGTTTTTACAATTATTCTAAAATGTCTTTTAGTTTCTAAAAAATGTAAAGTATGAATCAAATGACAGAAGGCATGTAGTAATTGTGTTCAACATGTTTTTCAGCAAAGTTTTGATTTCGATAATTTAGAGGCATTAGATATTTTTGTACCAAATGCATCGCGATGTGGACATGGACAATTCTGCATCGTTGCAGTAATAGACCATAATCGATTATAGCCTACTGACATCAATCACATATGCGCTTGTCACGCGAGTATTAAAAAATGCACCCACTATTGGTTATTCATTAGCAACACTACATTCATCACATGCATGCACTGTACTGGTTTAGCCTGATATATTCCTCTTATTACAAAATGTTTAATGACTCTTTATGGCAGATGAGCGTATAGCTGTGGAGTACTTGCTGGCGCAGTCTGACAGAGGAGACCTGCTTTCTCCACTGGAGCATGTTGAAATCACTCCGCCAGAGACACAGGTTGAAGTTCAGCAGGATGAGTGTCTGGATGTTACAATATGTGATGCAGCAGACATCAATTTAGATGCACACACCCGTGGCAGTTCCAGCAGTCATGATGATTCATTGATCTCCTCTCTGGTAATGTCAATTTTCTTGATTATTCTTAATTTAAAATTGCATAGGAATGTTAGTTTACATGAGCAATTAATTAAATTATTCAGTTAATTAAAAGATTATTAGGTAATGCTGTACAATAAGTTTTAAGTTTTTTAACATTAGCTAACCACAACTGTTAACATGAACTAATAAAGAATCTAATCTCAGCATTTACTAATGCATGATTAAACTTCAAAATGCTAACTTGAATGAACCTGAACTAACATTAACTAACAAAAAAAAGTCGTATTTTTATTAACTAATGTAAACCGAGATTAACAAATATTGGAAATGTAGTGCTCATTGTTAGGTCATATTAATGCATTGACCATCCTTAACTAAAGAAACTTTTTGTAAAGTATGACCACTTATTAAAACTAGTAAACTTTTTGAACACTCAGTTTTGTAACCCAATTTTGTTCTTCTCTTACAAATGTTTAAAAATAATCTAGGAAACCAGTCTTCCAAGTGGTGGCTCTTACAGTCCTGACATTGAAGACATTTCCTGCGCTGGGCCCAGCACATCAGCTCCGGTAAAGTTTCTAATACTTGATGCTGATGCTTGTAATTTGTTAAGAATGGTATATCAAAGAACTGTTAATAAACTATTTTGTAATGCAGGATTTTGTTTTTTCCCATTTTCAGGACAGTAGATGTGATTCAAGGGGTGTTCCTGGATGGGAGGCAGTGGATAACCTGGCAGGGTACCTCGTCAGCCTCAACCGCACTATCACTGCTTTGTCAACAAATGAGATAGCAGAGATCTTGCGGTTGTATTCGTGTCTGCATGCCATTGGTCGGTCCCCCTCCACGTATTCGCTTAAGTGCAAGAAAAATGTCTTGTCAGGTCGCTGGAGAACTTCTCGGAAGTGTAGTGGCTCAGCCCCTGGTCAGCAAGCGGCTGAGAGGTGAGTTA